CAAAATTCCTACCCATTGATTTTTTTAAAAACTGTTATAGGGGTGAAAACGGCATGATTTTGGTCATGAAACTTAAATTTGTCATGAAAAATCAGCAAGTGAGAATATCAAGAAAATCCTGTGACAAGTTTTAGGACCTTCTCCCAGGGGATCATTAGGCCTTACAGGAAAAGTTTCAGCGTTGTAGTGCAAACCATAACCGAGAAACCTTGCGCACAAGATTTTTAACTGTTTTGTAACTTTTTACTAGAATTGTCGTTCAGGGTGACTCTTGAGAGTAAGGATACTTTTTGAGCCTGGAAAATGGTCACAATAGACCAATAGTTAAATGCTTTACCCTGTCGACAGTCCTACACTCACCATATCCCTACAGAACACATGGTTTTAGAGCCCTAGAGTTGACAAAATTTTGTCCTGACCCCCCTCAAACGCTCATAGTGTTACATAATCTCTACTGTGAGATATTAGAACCCAAAGTCGCGAGGTGGGAAAAGCAGTTAGCCGTTTGTCTGCCACGCCGAAAAAGATAGCCTTTTGTCTGCCACGCCCAAAAAGATAGCTACTTGTACGTAGGGAGGGTCGTGTTACTTCAGTGATGATCAAAAAGTTTCGTGTCTGTTTGTTTGTCTGTACGCACGATAAGTCGAACGGTTTGAGCTACGAGGCCCAAATTTTTATTGTAACTTTGTTTCATAGAGAGCAAGAGCTGTATTGATTTTGAGCCCTCTAGCTCAAAAATTGACGAGTTTAAAAAATCAAAAACAAAGAGCGAAAAAAACTTACTTAAAAAAATCCTTCTTTTTACATCTTTCTTTTAGGTAACTCGGCAAAGTAGACCCCAATGGGCCAAAATTTCGTCCGTTTGGCTCTATCTCTAAATGTTTAGGCGCCATAGGGAGTTTTCCACACGAAAATGACCCAAAATCATTAAAATGTTTTGCCGCAGATATTCGAGGGTCTCTGGTAGGGTTACTCGTCAAAATAAAACCCCGAAAAGAAAACTTGTGACTTTTGGGGCCGAAGGCCTATTTACGACTGCCTTTTGCCCGACTCGGGTGTCAGCGCCGCAGGCCTAGGTAGATGTATGCCAGGCGCGTCACAGCGTAACAGTGTTTCGTGAGATATCGCGAAGCCTGTTACGCGAGACGTGGTCTGGCGTACATCTACCTAGTTTATCCACTGGAGTTGTAAATCGTTTTTGTGTATATAACAAGGTAGATGTACGTCAGCGCCGCAGGACAAAACGACCTTGAAAATCCCAGGCTATACTAGCCCAATTCGTTCTCGAGTTATCGTGATGACAGACGCACAGACACACACACTGCAAACACAGGTGTGTTATTTAGTGTGTTCGAACACACTTCAGGTGTGTTAAACCTACTATATCCGTGTTATTTAACACACCTATTATCCATGACACACACTAAGTGTGTTGTTTGGTGTGTTGTTTGAGAGAGCGACACTTCATGTGTGTTTAATGACGCACACGCCCGTGTGTTCACGGCTATTTTCTGTGTCTTAACACACTTTGGCCCCCTCTTCGCCCTGATAAAGAGCCTGCACAGCATACCTAAACACGTCTCAGCCGTGTTGGAACACATCTGCTTGATGTGTCTTACCCTCGAAACCAGTATGGTGCACGCTTACTGCAGATTCATATCATATAATAAAAAATAAAACTAATGAGAAGAAATAATTTTTAACTATATTTATTAACAGTCTTTATTGTAATGCATCAACCTGTGCAGGTAAATTACAATTTAATGAGGTAAAATATCCACTTACATATTTTCTGACCTCTCATGGTAAAACAAAACAATGTATTTTTCACTCTTGATATTAAAAATTGACAATGGAAAAGGATATAAAAGATCCTTAATATTTATTACTGAAGTTTCTAAAGTGGAGCATGGTTTTACATTATAAGCATTCAGCCTGAATGAGTAATCTAAAGTTTCAAAAGTTTGATAAACAAGATAATTTTCCTCCCTGTAAACTAAAATTTCTTTGACTTTTGCAAACACTGGCATTTGGTCCTCTTCACATGAGACTAAAATAACAGAATCATGTTGGTAAGTTGTCCCGTGAACAATTATCTGAGGTGATGACATAGCTCTAACAGTCTCCCTGTCAACATTTCTTATCACTCGAAATAAAGCATCTGCTACCTCAGTTTGTGAAATTAAAATTTGTTTGCCACATTTAATTTGATGTCCAGAATACAAATATCGAGGACTTGGACTCCCAGGCATTTGCCACAGTTCAAAGCAGCGGAGAGCCTCTTGTCGGTTTGCTAATGACCAGGGCAAATTCTTAAAGTTTCTAATAGCACGCGCTATGGTCTTGTAATAAGAATGTGCAGCTTCGAATCTCATACAAAACTGTTGACGTGCTGGTCTAAAGTCTCTCATTTGTCTAGGAAAATGTATGAGTAAATGAAATTTAGGAACTATAGCATCAGGGTATAACCCAACAAAAGTCCTAATAAAAATTTCAATTTGATGACTCAGAAGATAGGTTCTATCTTCAGAGACCTCAAAAGCAAAACAACAGTTGACAATTTGAAGAAGTTGCACATGATTATCAAGTCGCTCATATGCTCCTTCATGTTCCTCCCCTTCTTCAGTCAGCAGTAAATTATTTACTAAAAATGGCAAAACATAACAGAGACACAACATCTGAGCAGCAGACTGTCGTAAATTATTCTCTAAATGGTCTGGTAATATATGACTTGGTTTATCTCTCGACATGTGCTGATAGTTGAAAAGGTCTATTCTTTCATTAAATTCAACTAATGTAAAAAGATTTTCCTCAACACAATAACCTAGAAAATTTCTTATGCATACCTTAATTACCTCTTCTGACAAAATATGCATTCCGTCTTGGACCAAGCAGGATAAAATATTAAAACCATCTATATCCATTAAACTACTTCTGCTATTCACCCCGTATGTTTTGCTCCAGAATGCACGAGCTTGTTTTGTCATGGTAGCGTCTGTTGCGGCTTCCACATGATCAGCATGAGAATTCATTGTTCGCAAAACAAAGTTTCCCTCATTAAAGTACAATTTGTAATCTAGTTGACTAGCCATGCACCTCCGGCATGGCTTAGAAGCTGACACAGATCTCTTAAAACCACCAACCAGTGCTGCAGCTGGTGTGTCAGCAGTTACAAAAAGCAGAGAACCTTTATAAACTTTAAAATGACCATCAACCAAGACAGATACCCCTTCAGTCATTAATTTATTAATATCAGAAACAAATCTATCTAAAATTTTATCAATGCCATATTTTCTTATATGTTTGTACTGTCCAATTGCCAAGAGATTGATAGCTTGAAATGTTGAGCGAAGCTCCGGATAAATGTTAGCAAGAGACCAGTAAAATATTCCTAATTTTTGAGTCTTTGAACCCAAAGCTGCTGCGAATTCAACTTCATCATAATATAAAATAATAGCTAAACTTACAACAAATCTACTGAAAAATGGATGGGTTTTAAAGTAATTTCCATCAAGAACAGATTTCATTACATTGTTACTTTGTTTGGGATTGTCAACACAATCTCTTACTTGTTTGTTTTGAAGTAACCTCTGAAGAGCCGGTAAAAATGACATGTAATAAAATTTATCAACTTTCTCAACAAGATCAATAGTAGGTTTTTTTTTCCAAATCAAAGATCGACCCATGTCTATCTCTTCAGGTACTAACAATTTCATGAAGTTCACTGCAAAATCTTGAAGTTTAGTTCGGGTGTCAATACTTCTGAATATATAGTCAGCTGGCAATTTCCAACTGAAAATATTTTGAATAGCATCCAATGAAACTTTGTGGTCGACGGGATCAGCTAAACTCTCTATTTCTCTCTGCAATAATAAATAAAAATAAATAAATATCCTCAAAAATAAAACACCCATGTTAAAGGAGCAATAGAAAGATCACATGATACTGACCTGAAGGGAAGATGAATAATCACATAAAAGGTCTTGAACGCCAACTCTAATATTGTCCATGGCCACCTGAGAGGTTCGGCATTTGTCTCTTACTTTGAGCAAAAAAGTTGCAGCGTGTAACTGAAGGAGCTGAAAGGTTTTCACTTCATTTGCTGCAGAGGAACAAAAAAACACATATTA